TAAGGAGAACTATGGGGAAAAGCCCTATCCCCATAGTTCTCCTTTAACAGCCTTTGAACGTGGGATGATTGTTGGCGCTCGGAGCCATGGAGAGAGTATTAGCAAAACAGCAGAATTCGTTACATGTTCAAGAGCAGCTGTTGTTAAAGTGTGTAAAGACCGGACTGTCAGCCGAAAATCTGGGTCTGAACGTGCGAATTGTGACCGCCAGCGACTAGTCAATGTTAGGGCAGAACGGAGAGTGGCAAGACTGGTACAAGACAACAGAAGGGCAACAGTGCCGTGTCAGATTCCTCGCATCACCTTTCAACATCTCATGGAGTCACGAGGCGGCCCAACAAAGTCATCTCGTGGAGTTATCTCGTGTCCCAACGAAGTACTATTGGGGTGGTCATAATAATCTGGCCACTCAGTGTATATTAGTACTATACAAAGTTTCAGCCCATTAAGGCAAAACTCACAGAGCATTATGTAGACGGACATCTCTGTGAAGGACGTAGCTCTCCAGTACTTCCCCGCTGATGGTATATCTTTGGTTGAGCCATGGACGACAGTCCCTCACTATGCAGGATCGGGAGTACCAACTCCCAATTGAAATGGAACACCGAGGAAACCTTTGGTAAGAACGATGGAACAGTGCGCAACACTATCCGGTCTGGAAATCTTTGACAATAAGGTTCCTTGCAGGAAAAAAACGTGCAGCTCCGACACCCTCCTGGCGGAGACAATTGCTGTGATGAAGACTGAAAGGAGGGTGAGGTGATACAGAGAACGTGAAGCTGGAGGATAGAATGGCGCCACCGACAGCGCCTTCAGAACCAAGGGCAGGTCCCATTTTGGAAATAGAAGTCTCACCGGAGGCCTCAGCTTTATGGCTGCTTGCAGGAATTGTCGCACAACAGTATTATTAGCCCAACGACACTTAGTCAACGCCAATAAGGCTGAAACCTGGACCTGTATTGTGTTGTAACTCAGACCCGCGTCGAGAGCTGACTGCAGAAAATCCAGGATGTTCCCCACACAACAAGTAGCCACTTACATTTAAGTATGACGAAACGTGTCGGGGCGAGGCTACACTTCTCGGTATCACACGCAACCAGGAAGTACAGAGGTTTTACTCACAGACGTGTGAGCGGCCGTTTTTAGCGATTTTAAATGTAAGTGGCTACTTGTTGTGTTTAATAAAGCATGCTATCGACTACACCATGAGGAGTTTTTTGTCCCTTTTATATTTTTGTGACTAAATACTGATCCATATGGTGAGGATGAGACGTTTGGAGGTTCACCAACTTTCTTCTGCCTGTGAATATCCTGGTCTGGTGAGTGCGCATCCCAGAGGGGACCTAGATGTGGACACTGCGGTGTGGGATTTCTCTTATTTGTTACGGACACTGAAAATTTAAACTGTTTTTGGCATTCACATATCATCTATTTTTTTCACTTTTTTTCACTTTCAAATCAACGGATGTGTTATATTTTTAAAGATTTTGGATCCACAAATTATCTACTTTTGGACTCACATTTTATCAATGATTATTTAATATATAGTTCACTCACTTTGGCATCCACTTTGCTATATATCACCTTGATAAGCTTGAGATTTTTTATACATTTTTATACATTTTCTGCATTTGTGGTATTTTATATTCAGAATTGTACATTTTATCTATTTCATGTATTCGTGCACGATTTGATTTTTTTCACTGGTTATTATTGGTTATTAACACTTATCAAGTTTCATTTGCCAACACTGATTTTATTTATTGATAATCCTGAGCGCTGCACATCCAGTTATATTACTTCAGTAAAGATGAACTCTTTGTCCCTCCTTGCGCCAATGGGCCCAAAGGACTGCTGGAATGGAAGATGAAAGGATTCCTAGAAACGAGAGACACTGTTGTGCCGTGCATGTACAAGATGCCATGAGTAGGCCATCTAGACGGATGATCCGAGAAACCTTCTCCTTTGGAAGAAAAACCTGTGATGTTTCTAAATCGAATATCATTCCGGTACTGCAGAGCCCGTGCCGGTACCAGCTGGCTCTTCTGCCAGTTCACCAACCAGCCATATTCCTGAAATGTCTTCAGTACTAGTTGTCGGTGCTGTAAAAGTTGCTGTCGCGATTGGGCCAACAGAAGGACATCGTCCAGATAATGGAATATTCTCACGCTCTTCAGTCGCAAAAGCGCAATCACGGACACAAACACCTTCGAAAGGGTCCTTGGAGCTGAGGATAGGCCGAAAGGAAAGGCATCGTAACTGATAATGCTTGTGACCCAAAGTGAGCCGCAGGAATTTATGGTGGCTGCTTGCAAGTGGGACATGGAAGTAAGCATCCTTCAGGTCCACCGTGAGCATCCAATCCCCTGGTCTCACCAGCTCTTTGATGGTCTCTACCGACTCCATGCGGAAACTCTCTACCTTGACAAACCGGTTTACTCTTTTTAGGTCGAGGACTGGCCGAAATCCGCCTGAAACTTTGCTGTTCCGGCATGGGCAGAATGGCTTGTGACTGCAGCAATTCTTGAATGTATAAGTGCAGATAGGCTTATTTCTCTAGAGAAGCTGGGGCGTGAGTCTGTACAAAATGATCCGGAGGTATGGAAACAAACTGTATTTTGTAACCTTTCCTTACAATCCCCAGCACCCACTAATCCTGAATGGTGTCCGCCCATATCTGCCTGAAGGAAGCCAACCGAGCTCCCACCACAGGCGACAGGGCGGGCCACGTCTCAGAATAGCTTCTCCGTCTTCTTGGGAGCCTGAGTAGGCATTGCCTTGGCACCTCTAGAGTAGTAAGACTGACCTCATCACCATGCTTTTCGAAATAATTCTCTCCCGGGCCTATAAGCTCTGGCCTCCTGGAACGGTTCCCTGAACCGTCTGTTCTGACGAAAGAGCTGCTGTCTTTTCCTATCCTGCGGTAGTAGCCAAGACTTACCCCCTGTCATTCTCTTGATTGCCTCATCCAGGGGGCCCCCAAAAACTACCTTTCCTGAAAAGGGAATAGCGCAAAGCCCCTGCTTCGAAGCGCCGTCTGCCGACCAGTGCTTCACCCACAGAGCTCTGCGGCCTGTCACAGAAAATTACATCAGGCGAGCTGCTAATCGCACCAAGTCCACCGACGCCTCTGCTACGAAATCTGAACCCATCTTTAAGTCAAGCATTCTGGCATATAGAACATCAGTATAAAAGACAAACAGCAACCCTTCAGCAGGGCTTACCTGGAAACCGACAGCGCCTCTGCACTGTGGACAACCTTCAGAAACAATGGCAGCAGCCTCTTCTTTTAGCAGCGATCCCTCCTGCTGAGGAATCGCTGTATGTAAACCCCTGATGGCTCTCCTTATGCCTGGAGCACACCGCAACACTCGGCATGTGTTCCACGCTGGCTCCATCCAGTCCCGCCACTCCTCCCCACCAACCAATCCGGAGTAGGGAGGGGCAGAACCTGTGCTCCACGCCGGAACACAACTCACGTCCGCGGCTCTCCTCGCCGCCATAGCATCCACCACGGAGCTAGGAGTACACTACACCCGGCGCCGGTAACGAAGCCTTCGGCCCCCTCAGCCTGTAGCCTTTTAGGCTACCTCCGGCCACTAAGCCTGGCACAAGGCATGTCCCATCCTGTGGATTTACCACATACAGGGTACATCTACCACTTGGGAAAAAGAGGCTGTACCCGTGGTGGGAATAGAAGGTCATGCATTTAAAAAGGAAATATAAAAAAAAAAAACTGTTAGTAAGGTGTCCTGAGCGAGGACAAAACAAGAACACGTATGAGGTGGGAAGGGTGGGATTTATGCTCTAGTTAGGGGTGGTCCTATAGGTAGCCAGGGGCGGGGTTAACCCATTCGTATGCCGGCATGAGGTGAGCCAGGAAATATATATACCCATATATACACTGTGTATATATATACACTGTGTATATACAGTGGGGCAAAAAAGTATTTAGTCAGCCACCAATTGTGCAAGTTCTCCCACTTAAAAAGACTTCTTGGTATTTTCCCAGCTGCAGTATATTTGGGTCTCTGTACCAGACTGGCGTACACCCATTGTAAGACTCACTATATCATGTGTGTTATGACAGCTCTAAGGTCTGGGATTACATGTACCATACTAGTAACGTGGAACGCTACGCCCAGCCCCCACCCCCACTGCTCAGTAAAATAGGAAGTTTGGAAGTGATGGAATAATATTATTCATACTGTGAGAACTTTATACACAATGCCACAAGGAACAAAACTACAGTACATGATCAATCAAAAAAAAAATAAAACTTCTTTTTATGGACAATGCCATTTGCACAAGGCAACCTTTTTCTGAGTTATTGCATTAAACATAGGCTTGTGTTTACTTATTATTTTAGAGCCGGCTTCCTCAACCAGGGGTCCTCCAGAGGTTGCCAAGAGTTCCTCGGGCAATGAGCAATGCTGGATTGATCTTTTGCCTACATTGGTCACCTGTGTAAGGAGACACTTACATTTTTAGAATCTGTGTTTCTTTTCTGGCCATTATTATTATTACCGTATTTGCCGGCGTATAAGACGACCCCCTACTTTTTGTGTTAAAATATAGGTTTTGGGCTATACTCATCGCATAAGACGAGTATAGCCCAAAATAATGTTTAAATGCACCCACTAAATTGTATTTTTTTATGAATACTACTAAACAAATTATTTTATCACTTAATTATAATGAATTCTGATTATTATTAAACTAATCTTGTATAAAACTGGACATGGTAACAAAGAACATTTGACCAGAAGAAAAAATTAAAATAAGAATATTTGTTCCTTCCCCATTCTCAGAACAGCTGGCTAACCTTGCACAGTACCTTCAGTTCCCCTGGACAAAAGTATGCAAGATAATTTTATTGTCTATTTAGACAAAAGAGGGAAAGAGAAGAAGTTAACAGAGAATAGGAAAAAGCTAAAACCATTCATTATAAAATTATATAGGTGGGAAGGTCAGAAACATACTGAGACTTGATCACTTACCATCGGATGCCATAAAAGATTTCTTGCCAGTGGCTGGTATTCTTTTCCTTGGTTCAAACAGCTCTGCATCGGGATACACTTCATCGCTGAACAGAGCCGTAGTGGTCTTGGGTTTTACTATGGGATCTTCAACTTTCTTTGGCGGAACTTTTTTCTTTTTGATTTTTGTTCTGGAAAAATGGAAGAATGCCGTATAAATGACAAACATAAAGTAATGGCATAACGCAGAATGGAAAAAAACTCCATTCTCCCTGCCTGGCCAGCCAAGGATGATACAGCCCTTACCTTCTGGGCACTGCTCATCCAGGATGCCCTGGGTGGAGGATGGGAGAGAATAATGATTCTCCATTCATCAGCCTGAAGCATGTACCTGGCAGATTACCATTATTCCCTATAGCCATTCCCTATATACTGGGCTGTATGAGGGAAAAGCAACACCAAGGGAGTAAATACCAGGAAAGGAAAATGAAAGTACTGGAGGAACCTCACACGGGACTGCAAAGGTAGGTCTCATTTTACATACGGCACCCTAATCACCCTCCACCCCAATAGGTTATGTTCCCTCCGTGTTAGTAGCTAAATGCTGCAAACCACGGATGTAACTACATAGTACGGGGCCCCATAGCAAAAATTTTGATGGGGGGGTCCCCCTGCTGACCTCTCTCTGAGCTGTTACTAATGACCCCAAAGACTCCACTTGTGCATCTGGCATTAGCTTCACTACACTGTAGACTTTACAGAGGATTAGGGGTTGTATTCCACGTATTACTTAAGGTCATCTGAGTCCATTTCTGATGTTTAGTAGGTTTATCGTAGATGAACGATGTCAATTTTAGGCTTTATGCAAACTGAGAATTTTCAGATATAATGTATCTAGTAAATAAATCAAAACTGCAACTTCCAGAGAGTGAATGGGCTATATTCACATCAATCTGAGTGATGTATATTCATTACAGTCCCAAAAGCATAAAGAATTCAGTGGCACCCGTCACTCTCAAGTGACTAAGCGGGGAGACATATGCAGAACTATTCCACAGTTTTCCTGTTGTACTCACGGTTGGTTGTCTCTAACCCTGTAGTTCCGCCGTAATCTTTAGGAAGCTTATCCTTTGTTGTTGTCCACACTGTGCACCGTGATTTTGGAATAGTTAGGCGGTAGTTATGTGGTGTTCACTGACCGTCAAACAAATATCTTCCCATCATCGTCTTTCAAGGGAATTTTTCATGGAGGCTGCCGTGCATGTGGGTCACACAGCTGACAAATCAAGCATACTCTGGCAGACGCGTTTCGCCCCGCCTACCAGGGCTTCGTCAGAGCCTTCTGGATGACTGGTAAGTGGTTTTAATATCTCTGAAATGTTCGCCTATACGTAGGCGTAACTGTCTTTTTGTTTTACCAATATATAGTTTTTTACATAGACACTCTAGCATATATATTACTTTACTGCTCCCACAGTTTATATATTGGGTAATCTGATAAGATTTTGTGCCCTCTGTATTATGGAAATATTTAGTTTTTTGTACATACGGACATATATGGCATTTGCCACAGGGATACATTCCTTTTATTTTTGGCGTTTTTTATAAAAACGTCATATCTTTGCTTGGTCTATACTCTGAGCTGACTAAGTGGTCCTTTAAGTTTTTTGTAGCGTGTAAGCCATCTTTATATTAATTCTAGTGTTTCTTTTACTTGTGGTAAGCTAAGAAGCACCAGTCAGTGTTGGTAGAATTGTACTGTATATTAGGGCTACAATTCTACCACTTAGAGATTTAGTGCTGTTGTCTGAAACTGGCTTCATTGCCTGGTATAGGCCCGAAACTTTTTATACCGTTTTTGCTGTTATGCTGATCAAGTGTCGGTCTGAGTCATGGACCTCCAAAATTTTGCAGGTCAGGAGTGCTGGCTTTCTTCTGAATTTTCTTGTGACATACTTGCTCCATTACAGTGGCTCAGAAAGTAACAAAACCCCAGCCCGGCCACCAGCAATCTAACACACAATGGCAGCCTCTTGTATTTCTCCCAGTACATGTAGTTCACTAATAGTAAATGAGAAAACAGAAAAATGTAAAGCTGAACTCCAGCTAAAAAAGAAATGAATAGTCCAGTATTAGTAAAAATAATAAAAATTGCTTAATCTTGAGTATCCCACCACAGTATTTTCTTGCTGCCCCTAAATGTTCTCAGTCTTTAGGGATGATTGACAGCCAGCGTCAATCCACCCATACCCTCTGATTCCAGGTTGTCATGGACTCACCCCCTGAGACGACATCCCAGTCTGGGGTATTATGGCGGCAGTGGGCAGTCCTTACTGCTGCACATTATCGCGCTCACATGTCCTTACATTCATTACAGTGGTATGGACCAACCACTGCAGAGGAGAAGAGAAAGCACCATGATGCCATTGGAATTGCATTGGTATTTACAGGCAATATATACACTTTTTAACATAACTGGCCATTTGGAATATAAATATAACTTTAAATTGAAATAGACAGGGGGGGGGGGAGAGAATAACATGAGAGTGATGGTGGGTGAGATATATTAGGCAGCAAGTGAACATTTTTTCTCTGAAGTTGATGTGTTTGAAGCAGAAACAATGGACAAGCGTAAGGATTTGAGCGAGTTTGACAAGAGCCAGTCTAGACGACTGGCTCAGTGGAACTACAAAACTGCAGCTCTTGTGGGATGTTCCAGGTCTGCAGTGGTCAGGACCTATCAAAAGTGGTCCATGGAAAGAAAAACTGGTGACAGGGTCATGGGCGGCCAAAGCGCACAAGGGGAGCGAAGGAGGCCCCACCTCTCAGCTTACAGGATCTGCTACTGATGGCTTGTTGCATACATTTAGAGGTCTAGTGGAGTCCATTCCTCTATGGATCAGGGCTGTTTTAGCAACAAAAGGGGGACCTACTCAATATTAGGCAGGTGGTCATAATGTTATAGCTGATCGGTATATAATGACAGGTTGCCTTTAAATTTCAGTTTTATGTAAGGTTAGTCTGTATTCCAGAATAATAGATTAAAGGGAAGCTTGGCATGTGGCAACCATCATGAATATGTCCCTCTTTATAATCTCTAATCTCAGTTTAATTTAATTTTACTGGAACAATACACGGCATCATTTCTACGCACTTCTCGCTTTTTAAGAAGATTTTAAGACTAAAGGGGTCAGTGACATTTCCTGGTGAGTTAATGATGTACAGGTGAATATTACTTGGAGTACAGCAACCGGATTAATTACATTCTGTTCTTTCTTAAAGGGATATTGCAGTTTAAATAGTAATCTCTTATATAGTACTCAAAGCTTTTGCTGACTTGCTGTTCTGTATTGTGATTAATGCAAGGCTGGACAAATCCCAGGAGCCAGGTCACCAATGTTCCTTAAAAATGACAGCTGGCGTACAACTTTTGAGATTTTTTTGTCTAGTTGTTGTCAATGTACCTGGCTTCTAAAAAAATCTTGTTGGCTTATGGATTCGACAGATTGGCTCCTGAATTCCATAATTATTCGTCCACCCCTGGATGTATGTCCTATGACATAGGAAGGTAATATGCTGCCATTCAACCTCTATGGGTAGAGGGAATGATGTGATGGTGCCTAGATCCTGTATAGTAGCACAGGATGTAGAATTAAATGTTTCTGTTTAAATAGAAACAACTTAACATTCCCCCTTCTTAAATAAATAATAACCCCCAGCATTATTATTATTTGCATTATTTTTAACAGTAATAATAATAATACAATTAATAATATTAATAATAATACAAAAAATAATAATAATTATTATTATTATTACTATCATGTGTATTATTATCATTATTTTTATTTATAATAATAATTACTCAAAAATTATTAGTATTATTATGATTATTGTTATTTATCTATTACAAGGTTAAAATGTGTATTTGATATGCATACTGAGCTTAAAACATCACCATTATTTGAATTTTGCTACTGTCAGGGTCACCTCTCCATGTCCCTTTATTTTCATCTTGTGATCCTGCCAGTAACACACTGCCTGCCCTATGGTGACAACACTCACTGTACAGTATCCCGTTGAGGAGTAGCATTGTCACACTTGGACAGGAAGTTTGTATATCACATAACAAAGAGGGGAAGTATTCTGTAGTCCACAGAAAGAAATAGGAACAATGGTAACTGATAACAGTGCACCAGTGGTAGAATGCACAGGTCAAAGGACAGCACTGGATCACTGGCATGATCAACCGGTATTTTTTCTACCAAATGCATTTCTGAGCCACCTGTAGCTCTATAGCCCAGGAGCAGACCATTTTGCGATGGCTCAGAGGATCAGGTGAGTATAACTTTTTTTCTTGTAAGCCCTAGACCAAAACGAGCACTTAACCATGCAGTGCCAGGGGTAGCCCCACTGCAAAGGTTAATACAAAATTCCCTGGGTTCTTGTTTAACTACACCCACCATTCATTGCGCTTTAATGGCAAAGAAAAAAGATTTCCAAGAAGGCAACTTGGGAGGCCCAATTAACAGAAAGTGCAGAATGAATTTACTTTAGCCAAGATTATTTTCACAGAACGTCTCACACAAAAACATCGACGCGTAACAAACAAGGCGCATTCCTTCTTGCTGGAGCTGAAACGGACTGGTTAAATGCTTTCAAGTGCTTGAACTGAATAGTACGCTGCAGAGACAAACTTTTCTAGCTATGGAACGAAATGTCCTAATTATGTGTTTTCATATCTTAGCAACTAAGACAAGTGCCTGTGGAGAGATGGCTACAGTGGGAGGCCGTGCAATCATAACACGTAACGAAAGCACAATCTGGCTCTCTCCACCGTCTAGATGTGCGCCCGCTCTCAATGTTTCCTCATTATCTGCAGATATGGTCAATAGGTTTAACCTTCTCGTAACATCAGCAGTGCTTACCATTTTCTTCTTCATGCAGTTTTAATTAAATTCAACAGTATTACGTTTTACCAACATAGACTGTGCTTCTACACTGGGCTCCAAATAATAAGGGGGGCATCATGAAAGGGGCCCACAAAGGGCCATAAAGATACTTTATTGATTGGGCATCTAATACCCTTCACCCCCTTTCCTTACTTACCTCTGCCGTTTACATCCTGGTTCTTGGAGTACGATCCTATTTAAGTCTATAGAAGGCGCTGCACAGATATGGACAATGCCAA